GAACACCTGTTTAGTTATATCTCTCATAGACACCAGTAACTGTGTAGAAATGAACACCTGTTTAGTTATATCTCTCATAGACACCAGTAACTGTGTAGAAATGAACACCTGTTTAGTTATATCTCTCATAGACAACAAACTGTGTAGAAATGAACACCTGTTTAGTTATATCTCTCATAGACACCAGTAACTGTGTAGTAACAATTGCCTGTTTAGTTATATCTCTCATAGACACCAGTAACTAACTGTGTAGTAACGATTGCCTGTTTAGTTATTTCTCTCTTAAACACATATAATGATTTACATTTTAATGGAATGTTCAGAATGTGTCTGTTCTTTCAGCATTTCACGTAACTTGTGCTCAACTGGCAGGATTGTTCATGAAAATGGAAGCTGTTCGAGAAAGTGGTGCTAATGGAACTTCTTACAATGTTAGAAAGACGGCTTACTGTGACGTCCATACTCCTGCAGATAATGATGGGGTAAGGATGGTTACTGTCTCCAAATGTTTGTATTTCTGTAGTTTCCTATGTATTAGACCTACAAGAAGACACTGTAAGAATCTAGTCAGAATTATGGTACATATAACTAGAGCCAAGAGTGTTTTTTTTAATATCATTTCTTATTGTTACTGAAAAGTTGACATTATATAATTTCATCATACCTTCAACAGTGTCTTCTTACACAGGCAGAGGAAGATGATGGGAAGGTTGATAGTTTAAAAAAGGCCAAAGCTAAAGCCAAGTCTCGTGAAAAGATGAGAAAGGCAAGGAAGATTCTTGCTGAAAAGAGATCAGCTGTTCCGGTAGTCTCTATTCCAACTATTTCTCCAGACAGGTATAATATTTACTGTAAAAATCTGTATTGATTGTTACCTGTTGTCTCTATTCCAACTATTTCTCCAGACAGGTACAATATTTACTGTAGTAATCTGTATTGATTGTTACCTGTTGTCTCTATTCCAACTATTTCTCCAGACAGGTATAATATTTACTGTAGTAATCTGTATTGATTGTTACCTGTTGTCTCTATTCCAACTATTTCTCCAGACAGGTATAATATTTACTGTAGTAATCTGTATTGATTGTTAGTTGTTGTCTCTATTCCAACTATTTCTCCAG